AGGAGCTCCTTATTGGTACTACCATTACCGTCGCCATCCTAGCATTCGAGTGCCTCCAGTTTCCTTCCGACCTTGCGATGCACTGTTTATCGCCATGTTCTCGCCATGTGAATCTTCTTGATACATCTCCTTCTGTGAACGGCCATCGAATGCACAACACGACATGTGGAGCGGGCAGTTCGATGCCTCCCTCACTCAGCTTCCTCGTCAGTGTAAACATGGTTATTGTGAGAATAGAGGTGGGCCGTGTCGTGTTGCGCAGAATAAGGCGTTGAGGCCAAGTTGCGGGGACATTTCGTATGTAGGTGGAAGGAAGAGCTGAGAAGGAAGGAGAATGAGCCGACGCTCGGGCCTCCGGAGTTTACCGAAGCTGATAGATAAGATTCTGTATCATCTAATCGTCACACGGGTCGGGCTGCGCTAACCTTCTTCGGAACAACAACTGAGCGGCCCAAACAACCTCCAAGGTCTCTAATGCCTCGACAACGCAACCATCATCAGCACTATCGGTCGTTTGTTCACTTTTCTCGCTGCCAGCTTTTGTGGAGCGCTCCTTTCTTTACTTTCCTGTATCATATTTACCTTCTTTTTGGATTATGCCTATTAACTTTAAGATATGTTGTTGCTCACGACAGCCGCCTCCGATATCCGACTCGGTTTATCTGAACGAGATTCCTCGTTCTAGCAGCGTTCCTTCACAACGTCAAACAATCTCAGTCCCACCTTCTCATGTATTTGACGATCAACCGAGGAGGCAGAGTAGCGGGATATTTTCCTTTGACATGCGATCTCCACCGGATGAAACACTCGTCAATCCTCACCTCCGCCCACCACCAGCACTCCGACCAAGTCCGACTGAGTCCAGGTACCCTTCGACGATGGAATGAGCTGGTCGTCTCGCTAACAAACTTTAGTCTCTACATAACAACCAATGCATCAAGCTTCCTCAGTAACAGCCAGTCAAGTCTTGTGGCACGTTTGCATGCCAATGGCAACGAGTACACCAGAACCGACAGTATAGTTGGGATACGACGGGAATCCAGTCCAGCAAATCTGGGAACTACAACCTCCGATGACGATAGTGACGACGATTCGCTCAGATCTGCCTCCCCGATCTGCTTTGCGAGCACGCCAAACCTTCAGCGACTCATATCAATACGGAGCAACACCGACACTGCGCCACGATTACGGAGTTTTCCTGCAGAATCATCAACAATTCGTGCTTCGGATCTCTATGAGTTAGCTCAAGGTACCGCTTTGGACGACATAACTGAGGTGGATTCGGAAGCTGGCACAGCCTTTGGGTCCCGAGCATCTGAGGGAAGACAGTCTACCAGCCTCAGTGTCGGAAAGAAAGGCAGTGATGGAACAATCAGGGCAAGCTGGAAACCGATCAATCTCCCGCGCATCGACACATCTATGAATGGCGGCACCAGTTCAGACATAAACTCAACGACATCTAGCGTTAAAGAGATGCGAATTAAGCCATCAGCAGAGAGATTGGGCATAGCACCACCGTCTAATGATTCCGCCCCGCACTCAATCTTTCAAAACATCAGCCGACTGGTCAAGCCATCCAAAACCTCACTTGGCGACTCTGTAATTACTTCGGAAAGCCCGCAAAGTGCAACCAAAGACGACTCTGCCGTGCCCCGAATGGATTCCGATGACGGCACCGATACCGTCACCACCAGTGGACAGAGAACCAGCTTACGCGAGAAACTCTCACGCTTCTTTGCCAGAGCAGAGACCCTTTTCGAACCTGGGAGTGCAGATGGGAGAAGTACCACCAAGTCACACAGCAAGTACGACGGTGTTGAAGATATTGGCCATCATAATCGTGCGGAGAGTACACCTGGCGCTGGGACAACTAAACGGGAGATAACGACGGAGGAGGAAACTGGGAAGCTTGGTGGACAAGTGGTGGAATAGCATTACCACGACAACTCATCAAGCTTTTACCCTTCACCCGCCTTATCTATCCAGCCATCAATCGTCAGCCTGCCACTGGGATCGTACAGGCGATTTCCTCCAGCACTCAACATGTCTGGCAATGTTCTCTCTGTATCAAAGCCAGTGCCTGTCAATCTGCATTCATCTCCACTCTCACAAGTCGGACCGAAGCCAAAGGAGACGGTTCAGATACAACGAGGATTGACAAAGTCGCGAGTTGATGCTTTCGAGAGAAAGTTGAGTACCGACAAGCATAAGAGCCCCTACGAAATCTCAGCAACACAGATGACTGACGGGAGCTCATGCCAAAATGATGAATCATGCAAGTTGGGGCGCTCCCACTCGAGGTACACCCCCACTTAATATTGTGCTTCTGTGTAGACTAACGTTACTGTTAGGGTTAAATCGGGGATAGCAGCGTTCGAAACCATCGATGGCAAGAGTCGGACACAGGGTATTTTCTCTGCCGTGTCAATGTCTTCTCTAGCGGCACGTTTCCACGGTTCTTCACCTACCCCTACCCAACAATCAAGAATCTCTACCAAGTCATCGCTCCCGGTAATCAGCACAACAAGTTCGCAGACCGGCACAACATCTCATAAGAACTTGCGGAGGCTTCGCCTTTCAGAATCTGTCCAAAGGCTGAGGGAGAAAATCAGCTTTAGGATGCTGGTTCGTACACAACAAGCAGCCACATTAGAGCCTTTACCGCCTAGCCCAACTGGTGATAGTGATTCGGAGGAATCTGATGATGACTTTTATTATGAGGGATCAGAGAAGGAACAGTGTGATGAGTTTGAACATTTGGAATTAGAGGCGAAGATCAAGAAAGCTCGGGAGGGAAATCTCGACATACGGATTCCGAAAAAACCGGGATCCTTTAGCTCAGGTGAAGCAGAGGACTATCATCTGGAGCATACAATTACTTTCGACATTTACGGGTCGGGATCGAGCGGAGGATCAGAATTCTTCTCAAAGGCTGCTCAAGACACTGCTCTTCTCTCTACCAACGCTTTATCGAGTTATACGGAGCCATCCTCGCAAGCGGATTTGGCACTCTCACCATCGTCCTTATCCATGATTCAGAAGGATAATCAGAGATTTGCCTCCAACCAGCGGACACTTGCGCCTCGCGGTGAGCTCAATAGAGCGAAGAGTTGGACCCAGCTTTACGCTGCAGCTTCCGACGAGGACTCTCACTGGAATAAGCCGTTCCTCGATCGATATATCGACGACCACTCTGGGCAGGCATTTCACGACGATTACCTTTCCAAACATCCAGCCTACTACGGAGAGCGAACGACATCATCCTCCCGGTACACTAGCGCCAACACCACCCGTTTCCATCTTCCTTCTGGCCCGCCATCCAGAAAGGGCACCAGGGACTCCATCAAGCCTACTTTATCTGGGATCCAAGAAGATGGCTTGGTGGGTCCACCACAAATAGTCTCCACAGTTAGTGGAAACAGTACGTTGAGGAGAGGAAGCAAGAGTTTGGATGAAATTGATGTACGAAAGAGCAGCATCGGGAGCATTGGCGAACTCAGCTTCTATAACAGAGTTGTAGATGCTCCGTTTGGAAGCGAGGAGGGCGGGTGGAAGAGGAAGGAGAGTTGGCAGGCGAGGTATGATTCTTGTGTGGTGCTACCAGTTGAAAGTGGACCACGGAAAGTTCAGGGTGCAAATGAGGCTCATAAATGATGGGAATATGGCGCCTGCGGTGAATGGGCGCACCTTCTTTGTCCACAGGCTTGGTTTATGCTTGCAGATAAGTACTGTTGGTTCGACACTTCATGTTACTTTGTTTGGCTTTTGATACCTTATTTCGCACCATCCCACCATTCGTGTTTATTATTGTTTCCCTTCTTGCTTTACTTTAAGGCTTTTGTTTCTTTTATTGGCGGATTGTGTCTGCATTTGGGTTGGCGGTAAGGTTTAGACCCAATTGAGGGGATGATACATGGGGTTTTAGGGGAGATTAAACAAAACACACGGTTTCGCTTCATGCTTTCTTTGTTTTCAATGCAAATCACGCAGTTTTCTTTCTTGTACTTTGCGAGACCTCTTTCTTGAATTTCTATGTCGACTATACTTGAATTTGTTGCTGTGGCACCTCCAAGTTTATGCATCCGAGAAGCATGGCCATCTTTTACTGTACTTGTTGACAGTGCTGAAGCATCACTTGCTCCTAGACATATCCGTCGAGCCGACATGTGCTGACTTGCTCTGTCTAGGACTCGAAAATATGCACAAATCAACTCGAAACTCCTCAACAGCAGAGAATAATTGAGAAACGTGATTATCCACTTGTTGGATTAAGTAGTGATGATTTTCAAGCCCGGGAGTCCTCATCGTTCACTTCTACTTTCGTACTTACAAATTGTTTCATCCCCGGATTGCATTCACGAATAACAACTCACTGCGAATTAAGCGTAACATGAATGTGACTAAGTATGCCTTTATATGTCATTACTATTCGAAGATGGAACTGATCTCTAAGCGAGTTCGTATCCACCCGTTCTCGATGTATGCTGACCTTAAGCAGAAGTATGCAAGCGTTGCCACCGGTCAGATACCAACGCAGATCCTCACCACTGCTCTCCCACTCCTGATGATTTGTTCCGCCGATAAGGCTATATCCGGAATATGGTACGAGTTCTGCTACTACTAGCACAGGGCAATGCCACTGTCATCGAATATATCAACAGGCGAGTATATAGAGTCTGAAACGATCGGGTCCATTCCCCATGAAGAAGAGTGAATTGACGGTGTAGGTTAACGCATCGAGAGTCAAATCCTCAAGGAAATCTCATCTCTTGTCTCGCGATGGGGACTCGGGAGATTGAAAAGGCTCTTGGCTTCTATCCGTTCGGGTTCCGTATAGGCTTAAAGGCCTCCAAACTCGCAGTAGGGCCAGAGCATAAGAAATGGGGACGTCCTTGGTGGGCATGGGTAAGAACTGGAGCCTAGTACGATCGGTACTATCCGATACTATCCGATAGTAATGATAGCAAAGGCAGAGCAGTATCTGCAGTGGCCCGAAGTCAAGCCCGAATTCAAAGTACTTAGTATTTATTGGTATTCATTCCTCATGTACATATCTCCATATTCTTGCCTCCACCGATTCTGCTCGCAGGCCAGCCAGAAACCTCACCAACAAAGCCTTGTCTCGGAATGTTGCTCTGTATGACTCTCTCCACTCCATCTCAGTCGAATAAGCTAACCAGTAATCTTCTTCATTCCGAGTCCTTTCAAAGGTTCCTCTTGCTTCTCTCGCTCGTTCCAAAGACGTGCGAAGAAAGTTCGCAAACTGGCGGAGGGCCGCCAAAAGTGCAAGCCGTATAAGGTCCAACTGAACTCTAGTTGCCATATTGGCATCAATCCTCTGATAAAGGCGCATCCAAATATCGCCAAGCATTGTCCTCTCCCTCTCGCTTGCGTTTCTACCATCCAAGGTTCGCGTGCCCCAGAGAACAGCCATGAATTCATTTAAAATATCAACAGCTTGCTTGTCGCGGATAAGAGAAACAAACTTATACTTCATTAAAGCATCAGCAGGGACACTTGGAATCAGAAGTTCTTTCTTGTTCAAGTGCTCGGGCTCAATATTATGAAGCATCGTGAGTAGCATGAACAGCAAAGTTCGAACACAGCCGAATTCCTTGTAGTCTATTAACCAACGATGCCTGTCACTGACCCATGCATCACAATCTCCCCAGATTGAAAACGCGCCTGACATTTTATCTCTCAGGAAGATGTGATTTCGTTTTATCCAGGGACTGTATCTCGAATTTTCCGCGTAAGGATGCAAATTTTTGACCAGTAAGAGATCTTCGACGTTGTGAAATGATAAAAGCCAATCCACAATATTCCAAGGATCAGGGTGGCCTCGAGTATGAACTAATAAAATAAGTGGATGCATGCAACATGACGCTTAGCTTTAAGTACTTACAGACTGGGTAATCCTCTACGAACGTTCCCGCAAAGTAGTCCTTCATCTCCTCAATCTTTGCATGTCGCGCCTCTCTTTCCTCATCTGACTCCCGCTGTAGAACCATCTTGCGATTGTCGTCGTGCTTCGTATCTCTTTCGATGGATGCGATACGTATCTGTTCGAGAGGTATTCCGTTCTGTACTGCTGGTCGCACTGTCGATGTTTTCCGATCACAGACTGGTTGTCCCGTAAGAGGAACCTACTTGTGTACACACCTGATGTTCGTCAGTGCGGGGTAATGTGGCTTATCCTGTGGCTTGCTTCGTGTGCAATGCGAGGCACCACGAGAGGTCTGTCCTACCGAAGCAGCTTGGCTGCAACTGCCCTATCGAAAAGCTGCAGGCAGTCACATCTTTTTGCATCTAACTACTTGGTATTTACAGAGAACCACACCAAAAGCCTCCCAGCATCTACGCGCCCTCTGCATCTGCAAGCATGAATGAAGAGTACGGTTAATTTACAAGTGCTTTAGTACACTTTGTTTGCTTACGAGATTCATCATCAGGTCAGATGGCCGAGCGGTCTAAGGCGCCAGGTTAAGGTTCAGCTTAACAGTTCGCAAGAACATCCTGGTCTGGGAAACTAGGCGTGGGTTCAAATCCCACTCTGATCACCAATGTTTTGTTTTGTTGTCGTGGATTTGGATAATGTTTGAACTTCTGTTTGGTGGACCCATTCATGGAACCAGGAAGCTTCAAGTTGATATAAGTTTGCAGCCAAGTAGAATTGGTATGTAAGTAGTGTACTTGAGCAGCCCACCACTTCATCGCTATCCAAACTACTCTCCAAAACAGCATCTTTTTCGGGATACTATTGCGCTCGCTCCATTTACATCTTCTTCGATACCCATCTCTAGCATCACAAACCCATACACATCATGACCACTACTTCAAACAACCCTTCATTGAAAGGAACAAAAGGAAAGCCTTCAGATATGGATACTGAGGTCCTACTGGGGATCGAACCCAGGTTGCCAGAATCAGAATCTGGAGTGATACCACTACACTATAGAACCCATTTATGTGAATTCTGCTGCTTAACAATCACTCATTTTTTATATACCATTTACTTCTAAAACAGTCGAGCAGCACGGCAAAAGAAAAGCCACACTACACTGACTGAAGGTCCTACTGGGAATCGAACCCAGATTGCCAGAATCAGAATCTGGAGTGATACCGCTACACTATAGAACCACTGATGTTGCTTTCCGCAACAAAACGTTCTGGGCTCTAGCAAGCAGGAGAATGAGCAAGTAGAAATCAGAATACAGCGATTATAATTAAGTACATCCTCTAAACTCTACAACAAAACCCACCAGCATCCAACCAATACAAACTCGAATGATCCTAACCACTATCAACAATCTCCACTTGACCCCCAATCCTCACCCTACTCCTCCCCAACAGTCCAAACAGTAACCCCCCCGCCCCCCCCCTCGACCCTAACAGCAAACGCCCCCTTCGCCACATCCTCCCTCCTCACAAACCGCCTCACCCTCTTAAACAGCTTCTCCTCACCCTCAACCCACCTCCTGAACACCCCCTTCTCCTCCTCACCCCAAACCCACCCCTTCTCCTTCCCAATTCCCGGAAACCCATCATCCTCGTAAGTAAGCCTCAAATCCCCCTTCAACTCCTTAGAGTACACCGCATCCTCCATCGCCCCCCGCCGCAGTTCCTGGCTGAGATATTTCCCGTTCTTGGGCGGCGAGAGGGGCATTTTGACGCCGCCGCGGTGGAAGGAGCTGAGGCGGCGGACTTTTTCGTCGGGGCTGAAGGCGGAGAAGAGGGAGGCGAGGAGGGAGTTGAGGCGGTAGGCGTGGTAGGAGTCGGTGCCTTTGAGGTGGAGGATTGTGGTGTAGGCGGCGAGGGCGTGGTGGAGGGTGCGGAGGAGGACTTTTTTGCCGGGGAAGCCGTGGAGGATGAGGTGCGTTGTGAGGGAGAGGTGGAGGTGGTAGGAGAGGTGGGAGGAGGGGCCGTAGAGGGTGGTGGCGAGGGGGTGGAGGGTTGTTAGGAGGGGGTAGGGGAGGGGTGGGGAGGTGGGGTTGAAGGCTTGGAGTTGGCGTGGTTGTGGCTCTGGTGAGGAAGATGGGGAGTTGCGGATTGTCTTTGAAAGGGTGGTTTGTTTGGGGAGGTTGGGTTTGGCTTGCTTTTGTTTTTGGGACATGATGCGGCGGTGGTTGGGCGGGAGGTGCATCTCGTCCGGGACTTCGTCAAAGGTGCCAAAAGGGAGGTGCTCGGCGATGAGGTTGTCGAGTTTGAGGATTCTTTTGTCTCGAGCGTCTCGTTTGACTGGTGGGATTCGACAGGTGGAACAGATGCATCTGGCAATCCCATAATGTCCCCACAGCTCCTCCTTTCGCTCCACATGCGTCAAGTTGATCCTCGAAAGCCAGGAGATGGTAATCTCACTCCCCGCTGGAACATCAACAATTGTCTGAACCCAAACTTTCCCACGGTCGACAGTGACGTCTGCATTGGGAATACAGGAGTGGTTGATGAGTGGGACAGTCTCGGAGATGAAGGATTGCTGCGCTGTCGTCTGTAGTGGGAGGTGACGGCGGAGGTTTGCTCTGGCGATTTGCTTGAATTCCCGAAACCTGCTCCCCGGCGTCTCGAGGTCCAACACCTTGACTTCCCTTGTCCCATCCTTTCCCTTCCTCTTCTCAATCCCGGCTCCAGCACACCGAGGCAACGCCCAGAAGGTGGCCTTGATGAACTCTGTACTGCGCTTGAACCGTTTGTAGAAGCCGTCCCATTGCTCCTCTGTAACTGCTGGGTGGGTGTAATCGATCTGCTCAGCGAGGAGGAGAGGTTCGTAGATGATTCTTGTGCCGGCAGGGATCAATGTCGTTGCTACGAGGCCGCGAGGTTGCGAGGCGTGGCGGGTGTACAGATCAGTTTGGTTGGTTTTTGTTTCGGGATATTCGAGGAAGAAGAGGTGGCCTTCGGATAGGTAGAAGGGGTTGTTCATGAGGACGCGCTCTGGTGGAGGTGGGGAGGCGATGGGGAGGTCAGGGATGAGCGGAGGATCGACGGTCATGACGGTGATGTTTGTTGTTGCAATGGCTCAAATTTGATGATGTTGTTTGCTGGTGTTGATGATTCTGGTGGTGGTGATGTTTTCTTTGTGACGGAGGATGTTTGTCGAATCAAGGTAGTGGGGGTGCAGGCCTTATATCTCCCCACCCACCTTCCCGGCCCAGCCCAAATAGATATTCCTCAGGCACCAACATTCCACATCCACCTTCCTTTAATTCCCAGACCGGAAGCTTCTCGATGCATCGACATGTTGCTAACATTAGAACCCTCCCCAATCCAGTTATGACACGTACCGAGAACGAGATGAACCGCGATGAGCTGCATCTGTCTGGTAGGATGCTTAATTGAGATCACAACCGAGTCTGTGGGGTGTCAGTTGTTGGGGCGTAAAAAACGTGGGTTTGCGTTGGCCCAAAGAGGCGGTGAGTGGAGGAAAAAGGAAAGCAAGGGCGGGGAGGTGCGTTTCATGCATGCAAGGAGGATCTTGTCGATTTATGGAATTAGGAACTCTTGGGGCTTGAATTGTAAGTGACGAATGGAAGAAGCAATTGTATTCTGTGGAATGGGATATCGATGCATTGACGAATTGGATGAATGGAATGCAAGAAGCAATGCCATGGTGATGATTGCGTTTCGTCTGAACTCTGGGTTCCTGCAGATTCCCGAATCAGCAGTTCACAAATGCAGAACATCGACATCATTTGCAACACACAGCAAGCAACTCTGAAAGAAGTATTCAACAACCAAAAGTAGATTCACTATGTACTACCATTAACCTAATCCTCATCTATCATACTCCGCTTCAACACCGCCTCAGAAACCCGCAAATACGCACAGTACAGTACAAACAAGGTATCTGGCAAGCAAAAAAATATAGGAAACCCCAATCTCTCCATCTCACAGTGGCATCCGCCATTATCTTTACCCATTTCCGTATTTCCAAAACAACAAAAGCAGAACAAAACACCCTGTAAAAAAACAGCACAATACATAGGAGAGAAAGCAAAAATATGGTATCCATATGCTCCACCCTTCGGGGTATCATAGCAGGAAACTCTTCCAACGCAGAAACAGAAGAGAACAAAGCAAGAAAGCGCCTCATAAGTATCCCACCAAGAAGGAAAAAAAAAAGGAAAAAAGTAGCACCCAAAGTATCCGCAAAAACCACAAAAGCAAAGAAATTCGTAAACTTTTTCTACACCTTCCTCCATTAACCCCCTAATCCTCATTCTTCCTTCACCTCTCATTTCTTGCCCCAACCCCAGCCGCCAAACACACCAGTAGCCTGTGGCTGCGCCTGCGGTACAGACTCGACCCTTTGTGGGCCAAGCATGCCGTTGAAAGTAGTGAGTCTGTTGGCGTCGTTCAAACCAGGTGATGTCATGGCAGAGCTCATGACTGAGCTCTGACTAGCCTTGCGCAACTGACGCTTCAAAGCGTCGAGTTTTGACTTGTACTCCTCCGCAAGCTGCTTTGCCTCCGCCTCGGCCGTCTTGGAAGCGACGAGCTCCATTAGGAGTGCTTCGTTACCGGGGATTTCTGGCGCTGGCGCTGGCTCAGATGGCATGTGTGAGTGGTGCGAGGAGGAGGTTGAGATTTGCGAGATTGGTCTGGGCGTGGTTGGGGTTGTTGGTGAGTTTGCCTGGGTCAAGATGCTCTGGAGGCCAAGTGACGAGGTTCGCTTGTTGAACGTCGAAGTCTGCTGGGCGGGTTGAGCGGGGGTGGGTTGTGTGGAAGAAGTGTTGGAGCGTCTTGAAGAGGCGGAGGATGGAGCGCGGCCGAGACGGAATTCGCGGAGACCAGATGGAGCCTGGGGTTCCCAGACTGCTGCGGGGGCTTCGGCCTCGTCGGTGAAGGATCCCTTGCGGAGACGGATGTCGGAGAGTTGCTTTTCCAGGCGGGTCTTTTCCTTTTGGGTCAGTTCCCACCGCGTCTTGATCTCTTCGTTCTTCTTCTTTAGACGGGCGACATCCTGGGACTGGTCCTCCAGCTTGAGGCCGAGTTCGCGGAAGTTGCGTTCGGCGGTGGCAAGGTCGGTGCGGAGCGATTCGAGTTCGGCACGGGTGTGTTCCAGCTCCTGTACGAGTTGTTGAGATGCTTCGGAGCTGACACGGCGGGCGGTGAGTGGTGTCTTTGGCA